AGCCCCACGGCGGTGTCCGCTACAGCCTGAAAGTGCATGCAGCCCTGGCGCTGCTGCGCTTTCCCGCGTTTGCTGCTATCACAGAAGAGACCTTCGGCAGCAACGCGCGGCTGCTGCTGCTGCAGGTGCTCAAGGCAGGGCGTGTCTGCATGCAGGATGCAGTTGCCCTGGCCTTAGCTGACCCGTGTGAGGAACTTTGGCTGCTGCTGCTGCTGTTGCTGTTGCTGCCGTTGCTGCTGTTGCTAGATTAGTTCTGCTGTTTCTGCGGAGCTTCATGCGTGCTGCTGCTGTGCTGCTGCACTGGCGCTTTTGCTGCTGCTTCTCATCTGCTGCAACTGAGAAAAGGCGCTGGCCGCCGCATACTGTGCTGGTGAATGTGTTGCTGCTCCTGCCGTTGCTGCTGCTGCTGCTGCTGCAGATGCGAACCCCGATGGCGATGCTGCTGCTCAGCGGCCAACCAGCCGGCAGCGGCAGCAGGAGCTGCAGCGCTGCTTCCTCCAGCTGGTTTCGAACGCATTTTTAGTTCAGTGCGAGCCGCCTCTACCTGTGCAGCAGCAGGAGCAGCAGCAAGACCAGCAGCAGCAGCACACGGGGCGCAGGCGCAAAGCTGAGTCCAAAGCAGCCCTCAGGAAGATGCCTTCGAAGACAGCCGACGTGCCGGTGCGGCGCCAAGCCGGTTGCTGCTGCTGCTGCTGCCGCTGCTGTTGCTGCTGCTGCTGGTGCTATGCGTGTCTGTTTAGGCCCGAGCTCGTTGTTGCTGCTGCGGCTGCTGCTGCAGATGCTGTGGCTGTTGCTGCGGGTAGTGTTTCTGGTGCCGATGCTGCTGCTGTTGCTGCTGCTTCCTGCTTCCGCCCCTCGTACTGCTTCGGACCCTGATGCAGAGGGTGCTTCTGCTTCTGGTGCTGGCGCCGCCGCAGCAGCAGCTGGTCCTTGCATTGCTTTTGCTGCTGCTGCTGCTGTTGCAACTGGCGTGGCGACTTGCCTTGGCTCTGCGGTGTATGTACACCTCAGGCCTACACAGCCGAGGACTCGGACGAAGAGGATGCAGAAGAAGACAGCGGAGGCCTCCCGGGGTTTCTGCTGATGATGTTGGGTGAGAAGCTGCTGCTGCTCTTGCTGCTGCTGCTAGTGCTTTTGCAGCTGCTGCTCTTTTTGCCGCTGCTGCTGCTTTCCCTGGTGCAGTGGGTGTTTCCGGATCTAGACCCATTCTTCCTTCCACAGCTGCTGGCAATACTGTTGCTGCTGCAGCCTGCAGAAGTGCTGCTGCCACTGCTGATGCCAGAGGGTCTGGGCTGCCATTGCTGCTGTCAGCTGCTGCTGTTGCTTGTGCTGCTGCTGCTCAGATGAGGCAGACCCTGCAGCAAAGGCCCGAAAGACAACCCCACCAGGCAGCAGCAGCAGCAGCAGCATCGGCAGCGCTAGGCAAACCCAGAAGCAGCAGCAGCTGATGGACAGTCTTGTGTCTCGACTGCAGCAGCAGCGGGTTCCCTTTCAAGTCAACGCACCGTTCATATCTCTGCTGCTATGCAAGAAGGTGGGAAATGAGTTGTGCTGCTGCTGCTGCACTTGCTCCTGCTGCTGCTGCCTTGAGGGCCGCTATTTTTCTTACGCCCAGACGCGTGGCAGAAAACCCGAACAAACGCTGCTACCGCTGCTGCTTTGGCTGCTGCTGCTGCAGGCTGTGAAGCAATTTGTAGTCGCTCGCGTAGGAGACACGCGGCTAGTCCAGGCAACGACAGCAGCGCTGCTGCAGGCAGTCCGCCTGAAGCCGCAGCAGCAGCGGGGCGTCGAGGAGCAGCAGACCAGTGCCCGGCTAGATGTGCACTGTAGTACGCACTACGCTGTTGCTGCTGCTGGTGCTGATTCATGTGCTGGTTCATGCTGCTGCTGCTGCTGCTGCTGCTCATTTTTGCTTTTGTGGTCGCTAGCTGCTGCTGCCATGACCAGGAGCACGAGAAGCAGCAAGCCAATGCGCGACTAGGTGTACACTGTAGTGTGCACTATGCTGCTGCTGCTGCTCGCTCAAGGGTTCCTCTTGCTGCTGCTGCTGCTCACTTAAGGGGGTCTCATGCTGCTGCTGCTGCTCACCTTTGCGGTTGCGGCTACTGGCTGCTGCTGTTCCTGGCCACGGCCAATTTTATGTGTGGTGGGCTGTCGCTGAGCAGAGTGGCTAACGTTCGACGCGTTGGAGGCAGCAGTGTCAACAGAGCTGCAGCTGCAGCAGCAGCAGCAGCAGCAGCAGCCCCGCGTGTCTGTACAGAAGCCGCAGCTGATTCGGCTGCTGGACGGACTGACCAAACACCCAGACCGCCTGCTAGCCACAGCGATGAAGGGTGAGAGCAGCAAATGAGTCTTTAACGTGGAACTGGAAGGACGAAAAAGAAATAAAGGCAGCAAAAGAAGAAGTCCCATATGCGACGCTTTTGCTGCTGCTGCTGCTGCTGCTGCTGTTTGCTGCAGACGGGCAGGCTGCGTACCGCCTCGACTGGCAGCAAATAAAGGCGCTTATGCAGCGCCGCATTATGTCTGAGTGAGATCAGTTGTTTGTGCCGCAGCTATTGCGTCTTCTGCTGCCGCTGCTGCTGCATATGCATGCGCTGACGGGGCTGTGTCCATTCATACGCGCACGTACACCAAAAGTTAGCCTAAACTGCTGCAACTCCTTTCGCCCCTGCTGTGCTGCTGCTGCGGCTGCTGCTGCTGCAGGGCTGTGCTAGCTCGTTGCGGGCCTAAGGCGGCTCGAGTGTGGCGGCGCATAATAAACGCAGCGGAGGGCCCTGGGGCTGCAGTGGTTTATTTTGACGAGCAAATGGTTTGTCTTTGACTCTTTATTGCATGCGAAGTTTCACCTTAAATAGTAGTTAGTAGCCAGCCAGCTCCTTTGCTGCTGCTAGCCAAGTCTTTCTTTAAAGGCGCACTTGGACGCACAGCGGTCTCTCTCGCCGCTGCTGCTGCTGTCGTTGCTTCTGCTGCCGTTGCTGCTGCTGCCACTGCTACTGCTACAGTTTTGCCTGTGTTGCGGCCGCTATTTGCGTGTTTCGATTCTTGTGTTCGCTGCTTTTGTTGCTGCTGCTACTGCGCTGGTTTCTGCTGCCCCTTGCATGTGGCACCTTTTTCCGCTGCTGCCTCTTCTGCTGCTGCTGCAGATAGCTGACAGCTGCTTGCTGCCACCGAGCGGCGCCCGGCAAGCCATGTACTCGCTCGCCCTTGCTGGATTTGCCCGCTTTCATGAGTCGGTAAGGGTAGCTGTCAATGTGGCTAGCTAGCTAGCCACGTCCCACAGGGTCTTATTGCCAGCTTACAAGGCAATGCTTGTTCTCCCAGCTAGCCAGCGAGCTGTGGCGGCGGGCTAGCTAGCCACGCTAGCTAGCTGGCTGCAGCTGGCTAGCGAAAGAGCCAGCGAAGGAGCTGCGGCTCCTCGCTGCGAGCCTGGCAACATAGCTAGCTGCTACTAGCTACCTGGTTCTTGCTGCACCACTGTGCGGCTTTTGCTGCTCCCTGCATGCGCTGCAGGACCGGCTGCCAGCTAGCTGCACTTCTCTGTCTACAAAACACTCGCTGGTGATAACTTGCAGCCTCGAAGAGACGCAGCAGCAAGTGGCTGACAGTGTGCTTCGAGCAGCACTTAACTTGCTCGAGAGAAAACGAGCCGAAGCACAGCACCTCTCCGAACTCAGATGCAGGTTTGTTGCTGCTCGTGCTGCTCTCGCCGAGCCTGCTGCAGCTCCTGCTGCTGCTTTCGCAAGCCTCCTGCTGCTCTCTCTGAGCCTGCTGCAGCTAATCTTGTCAGCGGCCGGTGCCGCCGCTGCTTTTGCTGCTTCCCGCGCGGCTTGACTTAGTGCTGCTCTTGATGCCGTTGCTGCTGCAGCAGCAGCTGCTGCTGCTGCTAGTGCCGCAGGCCCGTCAGTTCACTTTGTGCGTTTTGAGTTGTTAATGTTTGCTCCGTGCAGGACTCAGTGTCTGGCAGACACTGAAATGCAGCAGCAGCGCCTCAGAGAAGCTGCCGAAGACCTTTTGGACGCAAATGTACTCAAGCTAGGAGAGCCACTGGCTATCCTAATGGACATCTAAGGGGCCCCACGCCAGGGGCTCCCTTTGGCTCCTGGCTGGGGCCCCATTTGACGAATCGTTCAAAGCGCAGGCGGGGGGGGCCTCATTTTGGTGCTGTGAAAGGGGCCCTGAGCTTCCGGGCTTGCGTGGGTGCTTCCGCAGTGGCTCCTAGTGGCTTTAAGACTCTTTCTTGGGCTGGGGTCACTGCAGGGACCCCTAGGTGTGGGCCCCCCCCAATTGTGGGGGGCCCTCTTGATGCTGTTCTTACCCTCCGGGAGGCCCCAGAGACCTCTTGGGTGCTTCAAAGTTGCACTCCAGTGTGTAGCCAGGGGAGCCTGGAGTTCTCCTCGTCGCTCGCCTTTTTATGTCTCTGCTTGTTTTTGCAATTACAGAAAAGAAACTTCGAATTAATTCACTTTGGCTGTCGCTGGCCTCCGTGGCCGCCCGTGTGGGGCCCCTCACTGCTGTGTCTGACTGCGCTGTTTTGCTGCTCTCTCTCTCCCGCTGCTACGCAACTTTGCCGCCTCTAAGTGCCCCTCTTGTTAAGCTTCCTCTGCTTCTGCTGCTGCTTCTCCCCTGCGTGTCTGACTGTCACTAACACGTTTTCGCTCTACTTCCCTATTCTTGCGGGGCCCCTCACAGCCCCTACTCTAAGTAACAGCCAGCTTTAGAGTCTTGGATGGGGCGGGCTCTGTCAATTTCACCCTCTCGCGGCCGCCCCACTGCAGTCTTCCCTCCCAGTCTCTGAAACGTAGGAGCCCCGAGGGGCCCGCAGGGGCCCCCGCAGGGGCCCCCAGGGGCCCCCACGGCACTATAAGAGCCCTTTTCTGGCCCCCAGAGGGCCACCTAAGGAACCTAGTGACTGCCCCCTTATCTTGAGGGCAGGCTACAAAAGACTCAGGGGGGCACCCCTGCGTCCCAGTCGCCTGCTGGGCTCGCTCTGCGTTTACATCTTTCAAGGGTCCCTGACAAAAGGGCATTTGGTGCCCTTTCGTAGCAATTTGCAGCACTATAAACAAGACAAGCTCCTAACCCCACAGAGCATGTCATTATATGTATGCATGCATTACTTGAAGCCAGTACTGCGTGCCTGCATTACTAAAAGCCAGCAATGCATGCATGCATTACTTAGAGCCCATGCGCTACAGTCAAGCCCTGGTCAGTCATGACGGGCCACTCACTGCTGTGGCAGCGAAGGCGCTGTAGGGGGAGGCAGCACAGTGGGTGGTCTGATGACATTAGGCGCTGACTGGAAGCCCTGGGGTGGTCCCTGCGGAGGCCCCTGAGGGGGCCCCTGCGGAGGCCTCAAAGTTAAGGGCCCCGGCATAGCAGGCATGGCAGGCATGCCCATAGGACGAGGCCCTGGAGCCATTCCCGGGCCACCCCCCGGACCTCCCAAAGGGGGCATACCCATTGGCGGGCCCCCAGGGGCTCCTCCCATCGGTCCCCCAGGGGCCCCTCCCATGGGGCCCCCCGGGGGTCCCGCCATGGGTCCCCCAGGGGCTCCTCCCATGGGGCCTCCCGGAGCTCCTCCCATGGGGCCCCCAGGGGCCCCTCCCATGGGGCCCCCAGGGGCCCCCATGGGGGGCCGCATGGGTGCGGGCATCCCAGGAGCTGGCATGGGGAAGGCTGGAGGCCTTGCCGGAGTTGCCCCTGCGGGCACTCCTGGGGGGACTCCCGGCGGGCCCCTCGCGGGCCCCGCGGGGGCCCCCATTGCCGGGGGCCGGGCAGGGGGCATTGAACCCCCACCTGGCATCATCCCCACACCTCCGCCTAGTGGCATAGTAGGCACAGAGCCGGGGGCCCCCCCCATGCCCATGGGCGCAGCAGAGGGGCCCCTCGGTTCCCCCGGGGCCCCCACGAGGCCCCGGGGTGCCCCTGCCATTGTGGGTGGCAGCGGCAGAGGCGGGAAGGGCATGCCTAAGAAGCAGCAGCACAGCAGTGCAGCAAGCAGATTAGACACAAGCCTAAGTCCCCTCACCAGCAGCCACAACGGCAGCACCAGCACCAGCAATCGCAGCACGCTCCAGCGAGCGTTGACAGCACACTCCTGCAGCAGCAGCAGCAGCAGCAGCAGCGCCTCACCGGGCCGTGGCATAAAGAAAATAGGGGGGGGCGGAAGGGCCCCTGGAGGCCCTGAACCCATCATCGGAAGAGGCAGAGGAGGCAGGGGGCCCCCAGGGCCCCCAGGGACCACATTGGGCATAACTCCAAATGCTGCACAGCCAGACACAAAGGCTTGCACCAACAATCTTGCACGAGCCACAGAAGCAGCAGCAGCAGCAATAGCAGAAGCGGCGGCAGCAGAAGCACCAGCGAAAACAGTACGTGCGAGAGCGAAAACACCAGCACCCACAACAGCCGCAGTGACAATAGCAGCACAGCAGCGCGTACGAGGTCCACCTCCGGCTTGCTGCTGAGGCTGCTGCTGCTGCTGCTGCTGCAGCGGCACCGGCCCTTCCTTCGGTGCATTGGAGCCCCCAGGCCGTTCTACCGTGGGCCGGTTGGCCGCCAGGAGACGTTCAGCAGCAGATCCGTGACGCTCGCCTGAAGTAGCAAACACAGCAGCAGCAGCAGCAGCAGCAGCAGCAGTAGCAGCAGCAGCCACAGCAGCATCGCTATGCATGATCTTGCAGCGCAGCAGCGGCGAAAGCCATCAAAGTAAGGAACGCTGCAGTGATGAAGGTGACGACGCGCCTCACAGCGTCAGCAGCAGGAGCAGCATCGGCAGCAGGAACAGCAGCAGCACGAATAGCAGGAGCAGCAGCAATAGCACCACTAGCAGAAATAGCAGCAACAGCATCATCAGCAAGGACAGCAGCAGCAATCCCAGCGGTCTCCGGTCCACAGCAGCCTCATCATGAGTACCAAAATTACGACAACGGCAGCATCAACCCCAAGCTCATCTGCACGTGCAGCAGCAGCAGCAACAGCCACAGCAGCAGCAGCAGCAGCACGCTGTACCCCGCGTGTCTTTCTTGTACGCGTAGGAAACGTGCACAGGCCTGTTGCAAAGAAACTGCCCATTCATTGCTGCCAGTGCTGCATCCGAGGCCTCAAAAGTCTCCATCGAGACAAACGCAAAGCCCTTCGATATGCCCGTTTCCGGGTCCCGCATCACCTGCAGCAGCAGCAGGAGCTGCAGCAAAGATGACGAGCATGGAGCAAAGAAGAACTACCCGCCCGTTGGCGGCGGTGCCCCAACAGCCTCACCAGCAAAAGCAGCAGCAGCGCTAAAGTGAAAATAGATGCAACAGACGCAACAGCAGCAGCAGTTATGGCAGCAGCAACAACGGCAACAGCAACTGCACCAACAGCAACTACAGCAGCAGCAACAGCAGCAGCAACTACGCCAGCAACTATAGCAACAGCAGCTATAGCAACAGCAACTGCAGCAGCAGCAACTTTGGCAGCAGCAGCTGTAGTAGCAGTAACTGCAGCAGCAGCAAGAGCAGCAGCAACAGCAAAAGGCGACCTTTGCAGACACAACGTTTCCAAAAGAAGAAAACGTGTCGAATAGAACTTTCTCGTCGAGGTCAGGGTCCAGATTGCCCACGAACAGATTCGCTCCGACCTGTGCATACACCGCAGCGCGCAGCAAACGTTCTGCAGCAGCAGCAGCAGCAGCACACAGCGCAGCAGCTGCAGCAGCCCTCGCAGCAGCTGTCCTCCCGACAGCAGCAGAAGCAACTGCAGTCGTAGCAGCGGCAGCTGCCGCAGTGGCAATGACAACGGCAACTGCAGCTTCAACTGCAGCAGAATCAGCAGCAGCAACTTTAGCAGGAATAGCAGCAGCAGCAGCAACAGCAGCAGCAGCAGCAACAGCAGCAGCAACAGCAACTGCGTACGTCAAAAACCCTGCGGTCATGGGCCGCTTTGCTGAGACGCAAAGGCTTGCCATAAAGCTTGACCATCCCCATTAACTTCAATGCAAAATCTGCATCTGTTTCCGACTCGAACTCCACAAAAGCATATCCTGCGGTGTACGTACACCCCAGCCAACAGCAAAACGCCCACACCGTCTGCGGTGTACGTACACCCCATCGGGCCCCACACACGCTAAGCTTCCGGGGTGTACGTACACCCGAACGCCCCACAAAGCGGCGTAAATCTAAACACCAGTCCCCCCAAACTTCATTCAGCCTCAAGCTGCAAAGGGTCTAATAAAGGGAGTTTAAGAGTAAGGGTTTGGGGTTTAGGATTTAGGGTTTGGAGTCTAGGGTTCAGGGTTTAGGGTTGGCCCCGCAATGCAGCTCTGGCAATGAGCTAGGGGTCTATTCCGGGCAACTTTGGAGGAAAAGAATTACAGCTAAGCTGCTCCTCGCTATATTTTAGTCACGGTCTCATAGGGTTTAGGGTTTAGGAATTAGGGTTTAGGGTTTACCTTGGTGTGCCCCAGTAACTTTGTCTTTGGGTATATTCACAAGGCGCACAACTCCCGCTTGCGTGAAGAGCTCCCACAGAAGGTCTTCATCAACTTGTGAATCTATGTTGCCTACATAACTGCGCAGCAGCAGCAGCAGCAGCAGCAGCAGCGATAAGGTACAGGGATACTCGTGGCACTGCAACTTGCGCTTCTACAGCCGTAATTACTTCTACGTCTGTCGCTGCCGCTCTTCCATTCCCTAGGGCGGCATTTGCTGCTGCGGTTCCTGGCCGTCGCTGCTGCTGCTGTTGCTGCTGCTGCTGCTGCTGTTGCTGCTGCTACTGGGACTCACAGTGTTGCTTCCTGGTTCCTTTCGAACACCTGCGCGATATCCGCTCCCCCACCTAAGCCTCCCCATGGCCGCGCGGCTAGCATTGTGGCGCTGCTGTTGCTGTTGCTGGTTGTGTTGATGTTGTTGCTGCTGCTGCTGCCGCCGTCGCTGCTCCTGTGGGTGGCCTAGGAGCAGGTGGTTATATTATTTCCCCGGCCGAGACTTTTAGTACTGCTGCAATGGGTGTCGGTGATCGCGCGGCTCCTGCGATCCCCGGGAAAGTGCTCGGCTGCGGTCGCTGCTGCTGCTGCTGTGTTTCTGCTGCTGCAGCTCTAGTTGTCGCTCATGCAGCCGTACTATTCTTAGATCCTCCAACACTTCTGAAGTTTGCTGCTGCCACTGCAGCAGAAAGCCCGGCTGGGTCTACTGCGGCTGCTGCTGCTGGCCCGCAGCTGCTGGCTGCTGCTGGTGAAGGCAAAGGCATGGACCGCTGCAGCAGCAGAGGTATTTCTGTCGTGTTTGCTGCGCCAACAAAAACAAAACAATCACAACAAAACGGTAAACACAAAAACACGCTAAGGCCTCGCCTCAGCTCAGCAGCTTTCAGGTCACTGCTGCATGCATGCAGCTGCTGCTGCTGCTGCCGCAGCTGCTGTGCTTGTAATGCTGCTGCTGCTGCTGCTGCTGTTGCCCTCCTTACTCGAATCTTAAGGGCTGCACATTTCAGCAATTTGTAGCTCGAGTGGTCTCGCCAGCTGCAATTTATTTTTCAGTTTTGTCTTGTCTTTTGTTTGTGCTGGCAGCTGCCTGGGGTGTACATACACCTCAGCTCTCCCGTGGTCCAGCAGCCGCAGCTAAGGCGAAACCGGGGCCTTCCGCAAACCAGGTGTATTGACACTCACCCAGGCTATTTTCCAGGACACATAGGTCCAGCAGGCCCCCAGAGGGGCTCAGGAGACTCACTCGTTTTCAATAGTTGTGCTTGCTGCTGCTGCTGCTGCTGAGTCCTGCAGCAGCTGCTGCTGTTGCAGCAGCTGCTGCTGTTGCAGCAGCTGCTGCTGTTGTTGTACGTCAGCATGGCGCAGCTCCCGTTTGTTCGTTCAACAGGCGCTGCTAAGGCAGCGTAGAGGATGTCCTCAGTCACCCTTCCTGCTGCGGCTGCAGCAACGCTTACTACTGCAGCAACTGGCGCTGCGGCAGCAGCTAGTGCTGCTGCGCCTGCTGGTTCTGCTGGTGAAGAGAAACCGAAATCTGCAACGTTAAATGGCCACGCCGCAGCAAAGGCTTCTAGGGTTCCTAACCTGGAAGCAGCAGCAGCTGCCGCAGATGCTGCAGCTGCTGCAGATGTTGCAAGTACATCAGATGCAGCAAGCGCAGCAACTGGAGCAAGCGCAGCAGATGCCGCAGATGCAGCAGCAGCGGCAGAATGGCCCGAGGGTTTGCTGCTGCAATGGGCAAACCGTTACCGCTTGCGGAGCCGCTGTCCGCTGCGTCGGCAGCAGCTGCAGCAGCAACCTTGGCCACTGCAGCAGCTTCTGCTGCAGCAGATGATAGACGTCGTCGATGCTGCTGTGGATGCTCTGGCCTTTCAGACGGGGCACATGCAGCAGCTGCTAGAGCTGCAGCGGAGAGAGGCGGAGCAGCACGAGCCCTGGTGCCCTGTTGCTGCTGCTGCTGCTGCTGCGCGGGAAGCAGCAGCAGCAGCTACTGCTGCTGCGGCCCTTGAGAGCGACACAGACACCGCCCTCGGGCGCTGCAAGCGGCCCAAGCCACGCAGCAAGGTGCAGCAGCGGCAGCGGCTGCAGCAGCAGCACTGCAAGGAGCTGCTTGCTGCAGCAGACGCTCATCCCCTCGACAGCAAACTTAGGGCTGCGCTGCTGCTGCGGCATCAGCACCCCTTTGACCGCTGCACTTGCGCAGCCGGGTGCAACTCAGCAGCAGCAGCAGCAGGAACTGCAGCAGCAGCAGCGCCTGCAACGGAAACGCCTGCTGCAGCAGCAGCAGCAGCAGCAGACGCAATATGCGGCAACCGGTACAGCAGCGACGAGGTGCTGCCGCCTGCAAGTGAGTGCTGGCCCCCCCGGTGTACGTACACCTCATTCCCGCCTCCTGCTGCTGCTGCTGTCGAGCCGCTGCGGCTGCTGCGGCCTCCTGCTGCTCACCAGACGCTAACAGGCCTTTCATCTTATTGCGAATTGGCTGTTGCTGATCCCTGGACAGTTCGCTGCTGCAGCAGCACCAGCAGCAGAAGTGCTAAGCCCCTGCTGCTACCGCTGCCCGTCGTAGCCACTGCAGCACCCCCTCCCCTTACCCACCTCGCCATACCCAAGCTGGAGCCGTGGCTGCAGCAGCTGCAGCAGCTTCTTGCTGCTGCTGGAGCCCCAAGGACAGCTGCAGCGCCTGCTGCAGAGGTCAAACAGCAGCAGAGCAACGGCTACCTTGGTGCAGCAGCTGCAGCGCCCGGGGCTCGGGCAGCAGAGGCAGCCGCAGACGCTGCTGCAGCAAAAAAGCCAGCAGCAGATACTGCTGTTACAACAGAGCCAGCAGCCGACACTGCTGCTGCAACAGAGCCAGCAGCAGCAACAGAAGCAGCAGCAGCAACAGCAGCAGCAGAAGCGCCTGTGGGCTACCACGTGGTAATTGTTGGGGGCGGCGTCGCCGGGCTTGCAGCAGCAGCAGTGCTGCGGCTCTTTGGGGTGTCTGTGCTAATTGTGGAGGCAGGGCAGCAGCTGGGGGGCCGCGTGCGCACTGCTGCAATGGAGACCTTAGCAGCAGCAGGGACGCAGCAGCAGCAGCAGCATGACCTCAAGCAACTGATGCTGCCGCCCAATCGCATGAAGACAAGCGCCGCAAAAACCAGAGAGCCCCGCTTCTGGAAGTATGTGATGCCTACAAGCCCGAAGCAGCAGGCCGTAGCAGCAGCAGCAGCAGCAGCAGGAGCAGCAGAGGAGGCGGGAGGTAGACGCACACGCTCGCAAAAACGAGCGGCGAGAGCAGCAGCAGCAACAGCAGCAGCAGCAGTAACGGCAGCAGCACCAAACGCAGCAAAGAAACTTGCTCGAGGCCCGGTCGAGCCCGCGTGCTCCCGGTCCGCATCTTCTGCTGCTGCTACTGCTAGTGCTGCTGCTGCTGCGGCGGCAAAGAGTGAGAAGCAGGGGACAGCGACAGCTGCTGGTGCAGCAAAAACAGAGGCACCGGCCGCAGAGACTGCTGCACCAGCAACTGAGGAAGCAGC